AAATTTGAGAAAATATTTACATATCATTTATCTGATAAGAGTATCTAGGGACTAGGGTTGTGGCTCAGTGGTGGAGCACTATCACAGGTGAGGCCCTGGGTTCGGGATCCTCAGCATCAGAGATAAATAAATAAATAAATAAATAAATAAAGTAAAGGTATTGTATTCACCCGAAACTAAAAAATAAATATTTTTTTAAAAAAAATTTCCAGAATATAGAAAGAACTCTTATAACAATAAAAAGACAAATATCCCAATTAAAAATTGGCAAGCATTTGAATAAACCTATTCCAAGAATATATAACTGAGCAATGAGTACATGAAAATGTGCTCAACACTGTTAGTCATTAATGAAAGGCATAGCAAAACAACAAGAAGATATCATTTCACAAACAGTAGGTTAAGAATAATTTTTGGGGAGTGCTGGGAATGGAACCCAGGGGCTCGGGAATGCTAAGCACATACTCTATCATTGAGCTACACCCTCACACTAAAGTTATTCAAATAAATTATTTTGTTAGTTGTAGATGGATACAATACCTTTATTTAATTTATTTATATGTATGTTGTACTAAGGATTGAACCCAGTGCCTCATACATGCTAGGCAAGTACTCTACCACAAAGCTACAACCCCAGCCCACAAAATAATTTTTAAAAATGTAAAATAATAGGTATTGGTAAGGATGTAAGGAATTGGAATTCTCATATACTATTAGTGGGAATGTAAAGTGATATAGCTGCTTTGGAAAAGAGTTTGGCAGTTTCTCAAAAAGTTAAATATAGAGTTAACATTTTGGTATGTGCCCCAAAGAAATTAAAACATATATCCACATAAAAACTTGCACTCAAATGTTCATGGAATTTAGCAGGGCATAGTGGCATGCACCTGGAATCCCAGCAGCTTGGGAGGCTGAGGCAGGAGGATCAAACAAAGCCAGCCTCAGCAATTTAATGCAGCCCTAAGCAACTCAGTGAGACCTTGTCTCTAAATAAAATATAAAAAAGGGCTGAGGATGTGGCTCAATGGTTAAGCACCCCTGGGTTCAACCCCCATTACTGATAAAATAAGATAAAAGCAGATTGTTTTCTAACTCCACATCATGTACAATCACAAGAATGGGAAGTTATCCTCCATGTATGTATAATATATGAAAATACATTCTTAAATACATAATTAAAAAGAACAAGTAAACAATTAAAACAAAGCAAAAAGTTCATAGCAGCACTATTCCAAAATAAGTGGAACTTATTTTGCAACTATCTATTGACCAATGAATGGGTGAACAAATGTGGTATATCTATTGCAACTATCTATTGACCAATGAATGGGTGAACAAATGTGGTATATCCATATAATGGAATATTTATTTAATTACAAAAAAAGAATATAACTCTGACGCATGCTACAACATGGATGAACCTTGAAAACATTATGTTAAGTGAAAGAAGCCAGACATAAAAGGCCAAGTATTATATGATTCCACTTATATGGAATGTCCAGAATAGTCAAATCAATAGAGATCAAAAGTACAATGAGGTTGCAGGGGCTTGAGGTAGAGATAAAATGAGGTACAACTTTAACGGGTACAGTGTTTCATCTTTTCTTTTTTTTGAACCCAGGTCCACTTAACCTCTGAGACACATCCCTGGCCCCTTTTATTTGTTTATTTATTTTTTAAAAAAAAACTTTTAGTTGTCAATGGACCTTTATTTTACTTATATGCAGTGCTGAGAATTGAGCCCAGTGCCTCACAATGCTACGTGAGCGCTCTACACTGAGCCACAATCCCAGCCCATGGCCCTTTTTATTTTGAGACAGGATTTTGCTAAATTGCATAGGGCCTGGCTAAATTGTGTAGGGTCTGGCTAAATTGCTAGGGCTGGCCTTGAACTTGCTGTCCTCCTGTCTAAGCCTCCAGTGCCACTGGGATTCCAAGGCATGCACCACCACACCCAGCTTCAGGGTTTCTTTTTATATGATGAAATGTTCTGGAATTAGTGCTGATGCACAATCTAACTGTAATATTGCACAAAACAACAATATTGCTCAATCTTGTGAATAGATGAAAACCCATTGAATTATATAAAGTGGTGAATTTTATGGCTTGGAAGGCCAATAGGAAAAAAAATAAGATAGATAATAGATAAACTGGAATAGTGGGATAAACTGCAACTGAATGTATGTTGGTCCTAGATTAGGCACTCAATGTACTTCTAATTCGGGAAAATAATCAGAAAAATGCAGAAGATACCCAAATGTTTCCTCCAGAAGAAAAAATTTTAGCCTGAAGTCTAAAACTTTAAAGGGAAGGCTATACTAGTGCTACATATGTCTTCCAGATCCTCTTCATTTTGCCTTTTCTAAACAACATGAAATCAAAAGTAAGGGTCTCGTTTGATTTATATTACCATCATTTACTTTTTTTCTCCTAAACAATATTCAGCCTAAAATTAGCATTATATCTCTATTCATATTTACTCTATTTCTCATCTCCCTGAGACTTTATATATATTATTTTTATTTTTGAACCAGGGGTTAAACCTACAGGCACTTTCCAATGAGCTACATCCCCAGTCCTTCTTATTTTTCATTCTGAGACAGGGTCTCACTAAATTGCTGAGACTGGCTTTGAACTTGTGATCCTCCTGCCTCAATCTCCTGAGTTGCTGGTTCTACAAGAATGTGTCACCGCACCCAGCTAATTTTGGGTACTTTTTAATGCCCTGTTTCTCTCATGATATAAGTCCTTGAAGTCACTTTTTCTTTTCTTTCTCACAAATAACTTGCTGATTCTTCTACTAATCTCATGTCTTCTTCTGAAATACCATTCTACTGTTAATAAACTTTCCTATACTGCTAACTTCTTGTTATGCTCAAATTCGGGACCCCCAAAAGATCACCAGAGACCAAGATCAATGTAAACAGAAAAGAGGTGTTTATTGCGAGCTAGCTCGGTCCTTCATGTGCACACAGCAACTGGTGACACTGAGAGGCCCCAAGCCTAGGGTTTGCAGCAGTATTATACATTCTTTGGAGAAGGCAGGGACCCCCACATACATCATAGCATCTCTTAGCAAATCATTACACACCGAGGGGAAAATCAAACAACAACTCTAAAACATGATTAGCACATTCACTGGCAGGAACAAGTTGGGTAGGGGTGATTGGTTTAAGCCAAAAGGGGTGTTCGTGCTGAACTACATGGTTTCCCAACATGTTATCAACCATCATAAACTACTGGGAGGGTCATCTGGCATCCCAGGTATTTCCCTGTCTCATGCTGATTGGTGGCTGCTAGGGGATTGGTATGGGTCCCCACCTAGCCTGACTGAGTCAGGGACACCTGGCGCAGCAGATCTCTCCTGTTATTTGTAGATAAACCACTTAGCAGGGTAGGAATGTGCCTAGGAGTGCTCTGTGGGTCATGACATAGGTCATGTCCCTTCCTTGGACAGGCTTTGCTCTGAGGTAGAGGCTGGTTTTTCATTTACTCTCACAATCCTTTCATCTCTTTGCCATAAGGGAAACCTGACTTGCTCTGACCATACAGATCCCTTTGGGTGAAGGTGATGCCTAATTTGAGACAGGAAATGGAGATGACAGTTCCCTGTCTCAGTATCAGGGTTTTCAGACCATGATTCTCCTTTGCTCCTCCAGAGAAGTTCACATCTTCTTGAAACATTACTCTGTCTTCATCCTCAGCTCTCTCTCTTTCATATCACAGTTTAACTAAGTGCTTAAAGATTTGAGCACAGGGTTATAGGTATTTCTCTCTATTTTGATTTATCTTTATTGTCCAAATGGAGTAGTTTTCCAGCAGCATGGCTGTTGAATTCCTTGACATTCTCTATTACAACTACACATTCCCACAGCCTCACCCTAGATCTTATCAATTAAAATAGCTCTAACCCAAAGACCTCATACTGTGACCAGTCTTCAATCTTTTGACTTCTCCCACTCTTACTCTCTCTAAACTTTTCCCTTCTGACTTGTTAAAAGCAGTAGTCTTCTTGATTTCTCTTTAGTCTGTTAGCTCCTAGCTGATTCTATTCCTTTTCCAGATTGGTTTATGAGATCAGTTGTTTCAACTACTTTCTTACTAGAATTCACACTTCCTTCCACTCTGTGACCTCAGTGCATTGTGTCTCTTCTGCCAGTCCCTGAATGTGGATCAACACAACCATCTGCTTTTCCAATCTGCTCTTGGACTGTCAAGAAAATTGCATAACTGTGCTTTCCAATTTACTGCATTATTTATGACTCAGACTCAGCTAGTTGGCTGACATACCCATAGTCCGTTCGTACTGGCTCTGTCAAATATTCCCTACTTTCCTCAAGCCACTACTCCACACTATCTTCCTCCTTCTCAGATGATTCTTTTGTTTTACAACAAAAGTAGAGGGCATGATGTCTGAAGTCCATCAGAGCTCCTGTTTCATCCTAAACTCACCCATCTTTTCCTTTCATCTCAGGGGACACCCACAGTTTTCCAAAATCATCCCTTCATCTATGATTATTTTGTTTGTTTTTGTCTTTGGTTTTGTGATATTGGGGATTGAATCCAGCGACACTCTACAACTGAGCTATATCCCCAGCTCTCTTTAATTTTTTTTTTTTTTTTTAGTTAGAGATTCAGTGCAATTCCTTTTAATCTCCCAATGACATTCTTCATAAAACTATAAAAAGCAATCATGAAATTCATTTGAAAAAATAGGAGAGCCACAATAGCCCAAGCAATTCTTAACAAAATGAGTTAATCAGTAGGCATCACAATACTAGACCTTAAACTATACTACAGAGACATAGTAAAAAAAGAAAAAAAAAGTACCAAAAGACATAGAGACCAATCCATACTAGACAAAGGTGAAAAAAACATAAATTGGAGAAAAGAAAGTCTCTTCAACAATTGGTGCTGGGAAAACTGGAAATCCATATGTAGAAAGATGAAATTAAACTTCTATATCTCACTGTGCTCAAAAATCAACTGAAAGGATCGGCGGCCGCAGGGCCGCTCCCGGGGCCACATGGCTGAGGGGAACACAGGGAGCGACCAGAGGCAGAATGAGGAAATTGAAGCAATGGCAGCCATTTATGGCGAGGAATGGTGTGTCATTGATGATTGTGCCAAAATATTTTGTATTAGAATTAGCGATGATATAGATGACCCCAAATGGACACTTTGCTTGCAGGTCATGCTACCAAACGAATATCCAGGTACAGCTCCACCTATTTATCAACTGAATGCTCCTTGGCTTAAAGGGCAAGAACGTGTGGATTTATCAAACAGCCTTGAAGAAATATATATACAGAATATTGGTGAAAGTATTCTTTACCTCCGATTGATCACGGCATTCCTATTACTGACCGAAGAAGTACTTTTCAGGCCCACTTGGCTCCTGTAGTTTGTCCTTCTTGCAGGACTGTGAGGATGATGGGGAAACAGCAGCTGGCGGGCGTCTTCTCCATCTCATGGAGATTTTGAATGTGAGGAATGTCATGGTGGTAGTATCACGCTGGTATGGAGGGATTCTGCTAGGACCAGATCGCTTCAAACATATCAACAATTGTGTCAGAAACATACTGGTGGAGAAGAACTATACAAGTTCACCTGAGGAATCCTCCTCTCTGGACTTCAGGGTCTCAATATGTAAACAGCAAGCACCAAGAGAAGTCTCGGATGAATGCCTCTCCTGACTCCATTTGCCTCCTGTGGATGCACCCACCATGCCCTCTGCTCCTGCATTACTGTGCCTTCTGGTTCCTAGGCTGTGCTCACTCTCTTTAATTTTTATTTTGAGACAGGGTCTTGCTAAATTTCTCAGGCTGGTCTTATAATCCTCCTGCCTCAGACTCCCAAGTCCCTGGGACTACAAAGCCTGTACCACGATGCCTCACTATCTATTGTTTTGATATGGGATTTTGCTCCATAAATTATTGCCTCTTCTTTCTTAAACTTCTCTATTTCCTCTTCCTCTAAACATATGCTTGGATTTTTCTGCATCTTAAAAAAAGTCCCTTAATATTGTCTTCCTAAAAAAGCTAACAATTCTCCATTTTCTTCCCTTCATTCCTAATATCCTGAAAGAATTGTCTACAGTTACTAACTTTAAAAGTCACATTTAATTCTCAAGATATTTGGCTTAGTTTGGGGTGCATGTATGTATTCTCAACAACTCTGGAGGCTGATGTAGGAGGATCACAAGTTCCAGACCAGCCTAGGAAACTTAGCAAGACCTTGTCTCAAAATAAAGAAAAAATTAAAAGGGCTGGGAATGTAGCTAGTGTTATAGTATCCTTGTATTCAAGAAGATATTTGGCTTATGTAATTTTAAGGAACCTGCACTCAATAATATTCATAGTGATCACTTAACTGTCAATTTCAAAGCCTTTTTTTCCCTTCCCAGGTGTTGGGTTTGAACCCAGGACCTTGTGTTTGCTAGGCAAGTAAGTGCTCTACCAAACTATGCCTCCCCAGCCAGGCCTTTTTATTGTACTTTGTTATTTGATCTCTTTTTTGGTTTTAACATCATTCACCACAACATATGTCAATGGAAGTTCTCCCTTCTTTTGGATTCCAGGACATCATTTTCTTCTAATTTTCTCCTTTCTTCACATCCCTTGTCATCCTCTTGATGGTGTCTTTTAATCTTTTCTTAACTTTTCACCTTCTTACTGTATCTTAATTGACATCTTTTATACACTTTGTTTCCACTTTGGTGACTTTTAAAAAAGTGTACAGTCCAATAGTGGTAAATAGATCCACATTTTGTGAAAAAGATCTCCAGAACTTTTTCATCTTGCCAAATTGAAACTCTACAACCATTAAATAACAATTACTATTTTCCTCTACACCTAGGTCTTGGTAACTATCATTCTACTTTTTCAATGAATTTGACTGCTTTAGATATTTCATGTAGTGGGACACATGGTATTTGCCTTTTTGTGACTGGCTTTTTTCACTTAGCATAATGTCCTCAAGGTTCATCCATGTTGTAGTGTGTAACAGGATTTTCTTCCTTTATACGTATGAATAATATTCCATTGTATGTATATACCACACATTGTTTATCCATTCATTCTTCAATGGACACTTGAGATGCTTCTACCTGGTTATTGTGAATAGTGTTGTTATGTGCACATGCTTTTTTTTTTTTTTTAATATATAAACTGGTCTCACTATGTTGCCTAGGCTGGTCTTGGTCAGGATTCTTCTGCCTTAGTCCCTGAGTGACTGCAATTACAGGCATGAGCCAGTTGAAATAATGTTACTATGAACATGAGGGCATAAATATCTCTTTAAGACTCAGATTTTAATTTTTTTTTTTTTACTATATACCCAGAAATGAGATTGCTGCATCATTTAATAGTTTTAATTATTCAATTTTAGAGGAACTGCCATATTATTAACCTTAGTGACTTTACCACATATGGGCAGTTAATTCTCAAATCTACATTTCTTGACCCAATCTCACTGACTTCTAAAATATATAAAGGTATGAGCCCCCAAAGGAAGGGAATATGTCTTATTTTTTATCTTCTATTTTTCCAAGTGCTTCCTATACAGTACATTCTGTATAAATTCTTATTGAAAAGAGTATGCCTTTTGAATTCTGAGTATATCTCCCAAAGGATGCTAGAAGAGCCAAAGTGTATATATTTTTCTTATTGATTATCATGTAAATAAGGTTGAATCACTGTTGTAAGCTTCTTAACCATAAGCACTGAAATCTAATTACCTGTTTGCTTTTAATGCCTACCAGTGCTTTGTACAGACTAGGTAATAAGAATCTGATTAAGATAGGTAATAATATCAAATATTTATCAAATTGAGGATAAAAGACTAGTTTTGAAACACTTGCATGATTTCTCTTTCTTGTCTCCAAACAAAATATCAGAAAAAAGGGAGGAAGAAAATATAGGAATTAATATGGTATTACTATTGTCTTACATGTGTTTTAAGATAAACACAAATATATGATAAACTCCATTCTGATCATATCACAGTAAGTTAGAATATGGCAATAAAAGTTTTAGGAAAGTTAGTAAATTGCAAATTTATATAACACTGTGGGAGAAAAATTTTAAACCTTGGTGGAAAATATGGATATTCATTATTTATGAGCTTATGGCAAGAGCACTGAGTAGCATCTTAAACAATATTCTGAAATTATCTTAAAACTAAAATTAGGCATGTATTTATAATGTGGAAAAGAAAGCTATCTACTACCAAGGTGACTAAGGGCACAAAATTTACATATTTGCTTAAAGACTATAGATATTTTCTTTTTCCCTAATAAACAGCTTTGAAATTTGCAGTAACCCCTGCCAGCTCAGAACCCTGAGAAAATAAGTCTTCTTTGTAGGAAGAAGAAGAAGAAGAAAAGGATATTATTAACAATGGAAAAAGAATGTGGAGTAGCAAAGGCTCAAAGTGAGCCCGGAGGACTATGAACACCAAATCACCAAGGAAACATGGAACTGTGAAATGGCAAAATGTGATGTGAAATGCCTGGAGCTCATTCTGTTGGTCAGCTTTTTTAAAAACCAAAGGAAAACACGTGGGTTATCAGAAGTATGTTGTTATTTTAGGTAGGCAAATAGTATGAATTATTCACATACTAATTGAATTAAAAGAAACAATAGCATTTTAAATAAATATAAACCTAAACTTTTTTTAGTTCATTTGATTAAAGTTTAATCAACTCCTTCTAATTATAAAAGATTCAGTTTTTACAGTCCCACAAAATGGTAGAGCTGAAAAGGGATCTTGGAATTTATCAACTACCATTACTTCCCTTTTATGATGTGGCCTAGAAAGCTGAGACTCCAGAGATAACAGACCTCTTAGATCTTCAGAGATAGCACCACTAATAAAACCAATTCTCACATGCTAGTCTGTGTAGGAATCACTGATGGGAAAAGTGTCTGTTAACTTTGGGGGTGGGGGATATGGCTCAGTGTAGAGTACCTGCCTATGTGGAGGCTTGGGTTCTATCCCTAGCACTGCAAAAAAAAAAAAACAAAAAAAAAACAAAAAAAAAAACCCCAAAACAAAACAAAATAAACAAACAAACAAACAAACAAAAAAACCCAACCAACCAACCAACCAACCAAAGAAAAACAAATTATAGATTTCCGAAATTCAGAAATTTTAATTTAGTAGATATGGAGTGAGATGTAGAAATTTGTTTAACATGTTTTCCTAGTATTTTGAATTCAGGTAGTCTTCAGAACATACTTTGAGAGATAACTGGAAAGCTGGATAAATCAAGGATTCACTTAGACAGGTTCTTTATTCTTAGGGAGACACTTCTCAGGGACAATTCACTGAACTTACTGGGAGAGCAGAAGAACCATTTCCCCCATTGATCATCATTTGGGACCTTTTTATTTTTTTATTCACTTTTGAGCTTATTATCTAGTTTCAAATCTAGTTTTTAAAAAATCTTATGTGGCTTTGATTCATTAGATTTTCCCCAACATGTTTTCTGTGTAAACACTTTGAAGCTACAGTAATCATGTCAATAAACACCACCTTGATTCTGACAGCAAAAGAAAATCACAAATCCTGCAAAGTATCTACAGTTATTTTAAAAAACAACAACAAAAAAAAACTTTTAACTGGGTGCTTTAAAAGATGAAATTAAAGGTTGTAAAAGAAAAAGTTCTATATTCCAGGTAATTTTTCCTTGAGGGAAAACAGGAGGAAGCACATGATTGCCATGACTTGTTTCACAGTCTCTTGCAATAAAAGGAATGTCTCAACGACTATTTGAGGTCAGCAAGAAGGATGTTTTTTTTTTTTCTAGAGAGAGAGAAAGAGAATTTTTAATATTTATTTTTTTAGTTTTCGGCGGACACATCTTTGTATGTGGTGCTGAGGATCGAACTTGGGCCGCACACATGCCGCGCGAGCTCGCTACCGCTTGAGCCACATCCCCAGCCCCAAGAAGGATATGTTTAATAGAATTTTCAGGCAGATGTCCCACCTGCCTGCCCTGCCTTTCACTGGGGACCTTTCTTTAAAGACAGAAAGGCACATTGTATAGAGAGGCACTTTTGTGAAATGCAGCAGGCTCACACACAACCTGGGCCTCTGAAAGGAGAAGCTAAACTATAAGTGCAAAATGAGAAGAAATAAGAGGAATAAATTTAAAAACCTGACAAAATAACATTGTTCTTGAAATGAACAGGTGGGTATATGCAAATAAAGCAAATACAGCAAGATGCTAATTGTAGGATCCTGATAGTGAGTATCTGGGTGTTGTCTCTATAATGCTTTCAACTTTTCTGTGTGTTTATACCCATTTTTCCAATTCTTGAAACAAACTCCAGTGTTTCCATTTACTTGTATTCCTCCAATTATGTGTTTGATTCTTTCCTTTGGCATTTTTTTTCTGTTTTTCCGATTGCTCTCTATTTGGTTGGAACTCAAATTCTCTATTATTTGCTATACCATCTCTAAATTTTAATTTTCAAAATTCTGCTGAAATGTTAATGCTCTCCCAATGGGATAAAAATCTCTTCCATCTCCATAGCGCTGTTTTTTAACCTTCCTATTGGCACAATTACTTTCTTTGTATTCCCAGTTAACTATTTCAATATCCCAGTTATGTTATAATGTCTATGAGGATAGAGCTGTGCTTTTTTTTTTTTGGTGTATCTCTATAAACATACTAATAAGCAGTGAAGAT